CCGAGGCTCTTCGCTTCGATGCCAATGTTTTCAGACACCGTAGCTCCGTTCCGTAAACGTCTTCCAAGAGCCGCTCGCAACCTTTTGCAGCTGGCTGTCTGCACGCTTCGCCGGCTTTTGCTGCGCGGACAATTTTCTCACACACGTCAGCGCCGTTTGTAGGCGTCAGAAAAACATGTAGACATTCACGAAGGGCTCAGTCTGTATATCGTCACATCATTACATACGCAGTCGTCGAACACATCGGTGTACATTCAGCGCTTTGTCCTTCTACAGCATTCTTTCCGTTGATAACAGTGTTCTGATGGGTTCGCTTCGTTCTAAAAGCGTTGATAGCAGTGTCTCGTTTGCGGACAACTCATTCTATATCAACTCACTGATACCGAGTTTCCTTTCACCATAAGTGAATGCATACCAGTGTATGTTGGTTACTACAAAAGTGGGTTCCTACAACCGACTTCATGATCGCTATCATCATCGCAGATTTCACTCATCCTCATCACCACGACTGGTTCACGTTGGCCTGCGGTGCTTCTCAGCCTGCAGTTCCTTTCGTTACACTGTAGTTGAAGCCGTTCATGGCAGTGACTCGTTTAAAGACAACTTTAGTATTGGGGGAAGTGTCGATAGCAGCGTTTCTTTTTACTTATACAAGCGTTGATAGCAGTGTCTCGTTTGTGGACAACTCATTATATATCGACTCATTCATACAGAGTTTCTTTTCGCAGCAAGTGAATGCACAGCAGTGTATCTGCATTACTGGCCCCCACTCCATTATCACTATCATCATCAACGATTTCCTACACGCGTGTGCGCGGCGGTCGCCATGAGTGAATAGTTTGCAGAGGCTTCTCGCATTGATACCCATGGGTCACTTCAGAGTGAACTCATTTGTGATCTTCTTTCATTGGAAGTTGAATCGGTTGATGGCAGTGCCTCGTTTAAACTCCACTTTGGTATTGCTAGTAGTGTCAATGCCAGCGTTTCTTTTTAATTGTGCAAGCGTTGATAGCAGTGTCTCGTTTGTGGTTAGTTATAACAGCGTTGACAGCAGTGTCTCGTTTGCGGACACCTCATTGTACATCAACTCGCTGATACCGGGTTTCCTATCAACACCATCATCATCATCCTTAACCATGTTTGCTCGAGTTTCACCTGGCCGTCCAGCCGCGGCGGTGCTCCTCAGCCTGCCTTGTCACAATGCCAGCACGCGGCAAGGCATCGCCCCCGCCACCCCCGGCCCCGTGCGATGGCCCGTGGGAGATTCTGCCGGATCCGCCCGCACCGACTCCTCAGCCAGGTGTCGACGTGGTCTTTGAGCAGGCTCACCTCGAAGACATCCGCCGTACACCAGGGATGGGCGGCAAGACCGCCTGCCAGTGGCAGCGCGCGCTGCGCGCCGAGTGCATTGTCAACAACTTGTCGTTCAAAGACGTAACAAACGACCCGTCCTACGACTGGAAGCAACTGCTTCGGTCTGCCGCTCCGGGTTTCGCTGAGCGCATAATCGGGCAGGGCATCGCCCAGGTTCTCTTTCGCATCATCGAGACAGAGCGCGACCCTAACTACTCCAACACGGATGGCCACGGCAGGCACTTCTTCGAGTTCCGTCGTGCAGACGGTTCAGCCATGCGCCTGCATTACCATAAGAACGGCCGACCCGATGAGCCCACCTATGTCGGTCCACCACGCGCCGTTGCTCAGCCTGCCGTGCCTGAGCCTGGCGCTGCTCAGCCTCATGTTCCTCGTGGCGGCGCTGCTCAGACTGCCGTGCCTGACGGTGGCGCTGCTCAGCCTGCCGAGACTGGCGGTGATGCCCCACTGCTCTTCACACAGGAGCACCTGCAAGAGGCAGCCTGCTCGCGCCAGATTGTGGGCCGCGACGAAGCCAGCGCCGCTCTCCAATCGCTGTTGCACTACCACCATGGCGAGACTGCCCCAGGTGCTGTTGACATCACCGATGGCTCAGCATTTGACTGGCTTCGATGGGTGGCACATATCGAAGGTGCGCGCGACGTCATCCGCAATGGCGTCCACAGGGTCTACGCTGTCCGCTGGAATCCGCGGCACGGTCTCGGTCAAGTACAGCGTGCTGTGGGGGTCCCGAGATGGGGCCTGGCTCAAGGTGCTCAAGACGTACTGGAGTGTCCCAGAGCCGGAGTGCCATCTGATCCTCGGGAGTTGGAACGGCATTTTCAGGCCGTGGCCGGACACGTTCTGGATCAGGACGGGGGGGTCCGAGCCCGAGATAGATGCTAGCGCTCTGCAGTACAAGTGCTTTTCAGCATGCGACATCCTGCGGTGCTTCTCAGCCTGCAGGGTTCGCAGCGTGCGGTTTGCAATGCATTCCTTTTCAGTATGCGAGTTCCTGCGGTGTTTCTCAGGTTGCAGGGCTCCGAGGCTCTTCCCTTCGATGCCAATGTTTTCAGACACCGTAGCTCCGTTCCGTAAACATCTTCCAAGAGCCGCTCGCAACTTTTTGCAGCTGGCGGTCTGCAGACGTAGTCTGTCTCAGCATGCGAGCTCCCGCACGCTTCGCCGGCTTTTGCTGCGCGGACAATTTTCTCACACACGTCAGCGCCGTTTGTAGGCGTCAGAAAAACATGTAGACATTCACGAAGGGCTCAGTCTGTATATCGTCACATCATTACATACGCAGTCGTCGAACACATCGGTGTACATTCAGCGCTTTGTCCTTCTAGCTGGGTCGCTTCGTGCTGAGGCTGAGGCTGATGCAGGCTGAGGCTGAGGCAGGCTGAGGCTGAGGCCGAGGCCGACGGCAGACTGAGGCTGAGGCTGAAGCAGGCTGAGGCTGAGGCAGAGGCAGGCTGAGGCTGAGGCTGAGGCTGATGCTGAGGCAGGCTGAGGCTGAGGCTGAGGCTGATGCAGGCTGAGGCTGAGGCAGGCTGAGGCTGAGGCCGAGGCCGAAGGCAGACTGATGCTGAGGCTGAAGCAGGCTGAGGCTGAGGCTGAGGCAGGCTGAGGCTGAGGCAGGCGGAGGCTGAGGCTGAGGCAGGCTGAGGCTGAGGCTGTGACTGCGACTGCCGTTGCCACTGCGACTGTCCTCGCGAATGCGACAACGACTGCGAGAACAGCAGAATTCTACAACTGGATTCTCATCCGAATTTTAAGGGGAATGCTTCCAGATATGCTCCTACACATGGCTGTTAGGTTGCTTTGCCGGGATAATTCAATTTTTTTTGGCCGTCAGTAGGTCATCGTGGAGGCCTTTGGAACCATCTTGGCGCGATTTTTGGAGCCTCTTGGGCCGTCTTGGGCTTTCGGAAGGCCGAGAAGAAGCAAACGCCAACATCCTTCAACAACATTGGGAAAACCAATGAATTTGGCCTCTTCGGGCCCTCCTGGAGAACGTCTTGGGGGCGTATTGGGAGCCTCTTGGCCGTCTTGGGCCATCTTGGAGGCTTCTTGGGAGGACTCGGAGGCATCTTGGAGCCATCTTGGGCCGTCTTGGTGGCTTCTTCGGCAGACTTGGAGGCAACTTGGACCATCCTGGAGGCCATCTTGGGCCAACGTGACCATCTTAGAAGATAGGACGCCGTCTTGGAGATTTGTTTGTGGACGCCGTGCTCGTTTGGGAGCCTTCCGCGTGGCCGGCGCGCTGGGCTCAAGCCCCCGAGGGAGTTCTTTTGAACACGAACCAAAACGAAACCGTAGGGTTCAGCATGCCAGGCACCCTTGTGGCAAGACCACCGGGGGCGGCGGATCGAGTGGCCTTCGGCCCAATCTGCCACCGTGCCTGGGCTGTAGGGCAGGAGCCTCTTGGATGAATCTTAGGGTTCGTTGGGATGCATCTCGTTCCCATGGTGCTATTTTTTCGCTGTTCGCCGACGCGTGTCATGCGGACCTGGAATTCCCCAACAAGGCTCCATCGTGTTATTCGTAATCGGAAAAGGTGAGTTGCGTACACTGGAGGAGGAGGTGGTGGATGAGCAGGAATATGAGCAGCAGGAGGAAGATGAGGAGGAGGAGGAGGAGGAGGAGCAAGGACGAGGACGAGGACGAACAGCAGCAGCATGAGCTGGAGTGGAAGGAGCGGGAAGAGCAGGAGGATCAGGGCAAGGCGGAGTAGGGGAAAAGGATGGAGGGAGGCAAGGAGGGATGCGGCACAAATGAGGAAGGACTCGGTTCCAGAAAAGTGGCCCGCGCTGGCGCAACCGTGCCATAGTGTACGGCGGTGGCAATGACGCTGCAGCGGCAGCACCATTTTGAAGGACCGATCGTGACCGGGTTGTAAAACACAGCATACGGGATATCAACGTTTGAACCCTGTCTACAAGCACAACGCGCTACGCGGAGAGGGTGGGTCAACTTCTGCACTGGGCCAGGGGAGAAGGGGACGTAATATTCATATTGAGTAATTGTGGATGGATGATGGGTGAGGGATTGGAGGGGGGAGAAGACTCCTCGACTCTGGGCTGGCCTGGAGCACGCCCCGCAGGGGCCTCATGTCAAATGACGACGGTCGGATTTTCCTGATTTTAGGACCGTTTTCGGTTTGGCTCAAGTCGATCGATCTTGTGGGAAGCCTCAGTTCACAGAGTGCAAGGTGCAGACGTTGTGTGAGCGCCATGGCCCGCGTGTCATTCGCCATGCTGTCGCTCGGGGTAGCGCTGGCCACTGAGGAGACCACGGCAAGCTTGCGGGGCTCTGCTGCGGCGCGACGCCTGGAGAGCTGCACCGCGGACGCGAAGCCATGCGCAGCCCCGCACTCCAACTCGGCTATCCAGCTGCCTGCGGCACTCCCCGCCACCGTGCCAGCCCAGCGCCTGGGATGGCGACTGCTCGAAAGATCGCGCCAACGAAGCGCTGGTGGGGGGGGCAGTGCATGCATTGAAGCGTGGCGAGAGGGGGGTCCCTTGAAAGATGTCAAAAACCCCGCCAGACAGTGCTTCACACCGTAGGTTATCCACATCGTGCAGGCACGGTGGCGGATCTGGTGCTTCGAGGACCCGACCTGCCCAGGGCAAGGGTGCGTCGAGGATTCCGGCTGCCGGTACTGCGATGCCTCGGCGATCGGCGGGCCATCGTACGATGGTGAGGCGTGCCCTTCGCCAGCGCCGTCTTCGGGCTGCACTGCGGACGCGAAGCCTTGCGCAGCACCGCATGCCAACTCGGCTATCTGGTGCTTCGAGGACCCGACCTGCCCAGGGCAAGGGTGCGTCGAGGACTCGGGCTGCCGGTACTGCGATGCCTCGGCGATCGGCGGGCCATCATACGATGGTGAGGCGTGCCCATCTATCCAGTCTTTCGGTGCCGCACTGGCCGCCGACGAGGGCTGCGACGGGATGACCTACACGAGAAACTACGCCGAGGGCACACCGCACGAGTGCAGGTGCGACAGCTACTGCGACGACTTCTGCGACGATGGGCCGAATGGCTGCGCCAGGACGTGCAGGATCTTGAACGGAGTTTTCGAGCACATCCCGTCCGTACATGCAGGCGACCGTACTTGCACCTGGTACGCGCACTACGTGACCAACCCGATTAACTACGAGGGCTACGATTGCTCGTGGATGACTGGCACTGGCGAGGGCGGCCATGGAGACGATTGTCAAGATTGGACGTCCGTTGGCGCCTTGAAGTGCCGGGAGGGAAACCAGAACCAGAACAACTGCCACTTCTAATCATGGTGAGTGTTCCCGAGGAGAAGGTCTTCCCGATTTCAGAAATCTTGTGGTGGGCGAATGGGTTGAGATGCATTCTACCCAGCTTTTTCAGGCTCAGTCCACTGCCTCTTCCAGCCAAGAGCGTGCGGAAGAGAGTACAGAGAGCATGATTCGTAGATGATGGAGATACACTAGCATCCTACCAGTGCTTCCCATCACCAAAAGTTTGGACCGTTGTGGGGGTCTGGGGCACTTCGCAGACGTGCTGTTCGCACAAACCGCAGCTGTAGGAAATCTTGACGCTTCGCGCCCCATCCAGAAACGATCCCCAATCGAGGTACCTTGATCAGGAACGCAAGGCTGCATGCAGCCCAGGAGCGAACCATACATGTCTCCGTGGGTCGTTCGAAGGACGTGGAGGGAGAAGGAGAAGGCTGAGGAGGAGGAGGGGCCAGCGTAATGAAGAGGTCTTTAACGAAAGACGCTCCCACTCAATATCTGGTGAGTCCCAGGTTTGAGGAGGGGGGAAAGAAGATATGAGGAGAAGGAGGAGGGGGAGGAGGAGGAGGAGGAGGAGTAGGAGGAGGAGGAGGAGGAGAAGGAGGCGGGAGGACGAGAAACAGGAGCTCTTGGATGAATATGAGGGTCTCTTGGGCTGCCTCTCATTCGCAATGTGCTATCTTTTCTCTACCCGCCGACGCGTGTCATACGGACCTGGAATTCCCCAAGAAGGCCCCATCGTGTGATTCGAAATCGGAGAAGGGGGCTCCGAATTGAGAAATTCCAGCGTTACGAGTCAGTTTTGCGCTAATCGTTTCCGTCCACGGCTTTCCTGCAAGGCCGTTTCGAGGGCCCCTTCTGAATTCTTTGCACGATACGGGACTCTGATTCCACTAGTCGGGCCGCTGCTTCTGTGTGCCATCCTAGCCTGGCTCAAGCAAGACGCCGATGAGATCGCCAGGCATGGCGCTCCGGGACGTTGCGCTGCTTTCTGGTGCTAGCCTGGCTATGACCAAACGGTCCTGGGATCGCCAGGAATGGCGTTCTGGGACGTTACGGTTTTCCTGATCTCAGCCTGTCTATGGCGAAACGATGATGAAAGCCACGAAGTGCGATAGGGTTCGAATTTTCCAACGTTATGCATGAGTTTTTGGAGCTGTGGCACAGGACTTCCTCACCAAAACGACGCCGACCATAACGTTGCGAAGCCGTAAATGGAAACAATTGAATTGTTTTTATTTAGGAGTACAGTCGGGGCGCTGAAGAAGGAACCGATTTCGTTGGGGAGGGGCTCGGTGTTCCTTGATTGTTTTACAGTTTACGCCCCGACTGTACTCAACGTTCTGATCGTCGTCGTTTTTGTGAAGACGTCCTGTGCCAGAGCTCCAAAAACTCATTCATAACGTCGGAAAGTTGCAACCCTGTCGCATTTCGTGGCTTTCATCCTCGTTTCGCCATAGACAGGCTAGGACCGAAACAACGGTAACGTCCCAGAGCGCCATTCATGGCGATCACAGGATCTTTTCGTCATAGCCAGGCTAGCACCAGAAAGCAGCACAACGTCCCGGAGCGCCATGCCTGGCGATCTCATCGGCGTCTCGCTTGAGCCCGGCTAGGACGGCACACGGAAACAGCGGCCCGAGTGGTACTCACGTAGCGAAGAAATTAGAAGCCAAGCTTCCCAAATCCAAATGGACCCGCTATGGCTTCGGCAGGCCCAAGCTAGGGCGGCCCGAGCTAGGGCGACAAACTGGCGCCTCGACGATGGCATAACTGAAGCTGCAGCTAATAAGACATATCCCCACGACGCTCTCTCGCGACCCCACAGGCCATAGGCCACCCGTTTACGAGATGGCAGCCGCGGATGTAAAAAGTCAACACGCAACCACGTCATAACGTTAGAATAGTGCCTTTCGAAGAAGATGAATGCAGTCTGGGCCACGGCGACATGGTACCCAAAAGCATACACGTGTGCCTCGCGTTTCTCTATTGTTTCTTACATGTTCGGCGGCGGCCGCCGATCCTGCCCAGCGTAGAACCCGTGGACTTTGAATGGCGAGAGTAAAACGTTACGAATCAGTTTCGCGTAAACTTTTCCATCCACGGTATTGATACATGTACTGCCGTTATTGCTACCGCTACGCATATAAAAGTTACGATTACGCTGACTACGACGACTGCTGCTACTATTCGTGATACTATTACTGCTACTACTACTACTACTACTACTACTACTAAGTCTCCTTCTGCTTCTTCTACTAATACTACTATTATTACTACTACTACTACTACGACTACTACTACTACCACTACTACAACAACAACTACTACTATTACTACTACTGCTACTAATACTACTACTATTACTACTACGACTACGACCACTACTGCTAGTGTTGTTATTATTACTGTTTCGACCACTACTTCTTCCACTACTACGATTAGTTCTACTACGACGACGGCTGCGATTACGATTACTATTATTACCATTACCATTCCAATATTTATTACGGCTACGACTACTAATATTACCACAGCCACTACCACTATTGCTGCTAATACGATCAATACCGCTATGACGTTCGTGTTAGTGGTACCACTTCTGTTACTACTACTACTGCTGCTTCCACAATTATGATTGTTATCACAACTACTATTACGCAGGACATGACAGCCACGACTAGTATTGATGATACTGCTCGGCCATTAGTACGACCGGGACGACAACTATTATTACTATTAGTACGGCATGTACCCTTACTACTACTGGTACGACTGGTTCCACGACTTACCCATATTAATACTAGTTGTAGTAGTAGTCGTAGTCGTAGTAGTAGTAGTAGTAGTAGTAGTAGTAGTAGTAGTAGTAGTAGTAGTAGTAGTGGTAGTAGTAGTAGTCGTAGTCGTAGTAGTAGTGGCAGTAGTGGCAGTAGTAGTAGTAGTAGTAGTAGTAGTAGTAGTAGTCGTCGTAGTAGTAGTAGTAGTAGTAGTAGTAGTAGTAGCTGTCGTCGTAGTCGTAGTCGTAGTAGTAGTAGTGGTAGTGGTAGTCGTAGTAGTCGTACTTAAAGTGGTAGTAACAACAAAAGTAGTAAGTAGTAGTAGTAGTAGTAGTAGTAGTCGTCGTCGTAGAGGTACTGATAGAAGTAGTAGTCCAAGTAGTACTAGCAGCAGTAGTGGTATTAGTAATCGTGGTAGTAGTGGTACTCGTACTGCTACCACTACTACTACTATTACTACTACTACTACTGCTATTACTAATCGTGGTAGTAGTGGTACTCGTAATACTACCATTACTACTACTACTGCTACTACTACTATTCATACGACTACTACTACGATTAATACTACTACGACTACGACTACTGCTACTACTGTTACTACGGCTATTATTATCACTACTACTACTACAACTACTACTACTGCTACTACTGTTATTACTACCACGACTACTACGACGACTACGACTACGACTACTACTACTACTACAACTACAACTAGTTTTACTACGACTACTACTACTACTACTAGTAGCAGTAGTGGTAGTAGTAGTAGTAGCCGTAGTCGTAGTAGTAGTAGTAGTAGTAGCAGTAGTAGTAGTAGTAGTAGTAGTGGTAGTAGTGGTAGTAGTAGTAGTAGTAGTAGTAGTGGTAGTGGTAGTGGTAGTCGTAGTAGTCGTACTTAAAAATGGTAGTAACAACAAAAGTAGTAGTAGTCGTAGTAGTACTGATAGAAGTAGTAGTCCTAGTAGTAGTAGTAGTAGCAGCAGTAGTGGTAGTAGTAGTCGTGGTAGTAGTGGTACTCGTAATACTACCACTACTACTACTATTGCTACTACTGCTACTACTACTATTACCAATCGTGGTAGTAGTGGTAGTCGTATTACTACCACTACTACTACTCTTACTACTACTACTGCTACTACTACTATTAATACGACTACTACTACTACTATTCATATTACTACGACTACGACTACTGCTACTGCTACTGCTACTGCTACTACTACTACTACTACTATTACTACTACTACGAATATTCCTACTACTACTACTACTACTACAGCGACTACTACTGCTACTACTACAACTACGGCTACTACTGCTACTACTATCATTACTACCACTACTACTACTACTACGACGGCGGCTACTACTACTACTACTACTACTGCTACTACTACTATTACTAGTACTACTACTACTACTACTACTTCTACTACTACTATTACTACTGCTGCTACTACTACTGCTACTGCTACTCCTACTGCTACTACGACTACTACTACTACTGCTACTACTGCTACTACTACTACTACTACTACTACTACTACTGCTACTGCTGCTGCTGCTACTACTACGACTACTACTATGAGCCCCAAATTTGAGTCACATCAATGATGTGTGCCTTCGCTGAGACCATCGTGGCCGTTCCAGCGACCCGTGGCCCTCTCCTTCCAATCCCAAGGGGGGGGCCGGGTGATGGGCAACCTTCCCAAAGGGCAAGAAGGGGGTGGAAGAGGAAACGCCCTAAACCTATCACGCGCTAAAGAGCTGGTGGGATTTTGTCACTGCTGATGGGAAAGATTGGAGTTGTGGTAGGAGGAGCGGGAGGGGGGGCGCGGGATCTTTGAACTGCGGGTATCCGACGATAGGAACGGCATCTTGGGGGCCTCTTGGGCCGTCCTGTGGTGCTTTTCGGGTCGTCTTGGGGGCCTGTTAGGCCGTCGTGGGGGCAATCTTGGGAGCTTTTTCGGCGATCTTGGGGCCGTCTTGGGGGCCTTTGCGCCGTCTTGAGCCGTCGGAAGGCCGAACAGAAGCAAGTGCCCAAATCCCTCCCGAACATAAGGAACATCAATGATTTGGGTACATTCAGGCCCTCCTGGAAACCTCTTGGAGGCATCCTGGGCCGTTTTTGATGCCTCTGGGGGCTTCTTTGGCCATCGTGGAGGCTTCGTGGGCGGACGTGGAGGTATCTTGGACCCGCTTGGGCCGTCTTGGAAGCCATCTTGCTCTTGGGCC